CATGTAATTCCTCTTTTAGATCTTGCAAGAATTTCCTCACCTCCTGGAACTCGTCAACTTCTTTCTCCTTTCTCTTTAGCAGTTCATTGTCTCTCTTCTCTTCCATCTCAGTTAGCTTTGCCATTATGAATGTTCTAAATTCTTTATCAGACATTTCCATGATTTGCATTGAACTGCTTGTGGATGAACAGGAGTTATTCTTTTCCCTTGGAGGAGAGGTATTTTCTTGCTTTCCCATATTTCTTGTGGTCCTGCGGTGATTTCTTGTCATCTGATGGATGGTGTTTTTCTTTCAAATTCTTGGAGTTCAATCTGAGTGTTCAGGAGCAAGCAGAAAGAGGTGATCTGGAATCTCTTTGCCGTTCTGTTGTGATTGCACGCTAGCTTTGTTTGCTAGAGGTTGAATTATCGGTAGAAAATCTTCATTTTTCCTGTCCCCTGCAATGACTAGTTAGCAGGAGCCATGAGGAATCCTCTTCTCGTGAAGATCTTTTTTTGCTGGGGAGATTTCCACTGTCTTGGAGACCTGACACCATGCATGTGTTAGTTGCAATGATCCACCTTTGAAACTGCTGCTGTGTGGGGTACCCATCAACTGGTCACTTTGAAGATTTCCCTCAAAACAAGTCATAGTTATTTCGGTTTTGATCTGATTTCCGACAAGAGGTGTCCAGGTCTCTGACGCTTCATTTTTCAAACCCTTGTAATGCAACACACTCTAGTAATAGGCAATTTCTCTAACTGACAGCCACAGATAGGAGCAAGACAAGTCTGGAGCTCCTTCTTATCTCATTTTGGAGAACTGCCATGACTTCATCTGTCAGGGGTTTCCCAGGAAGCCCATCTTGCAAGGCCATGTCCATGAGCTGATCCAGGCCTTGCTAAATGTCCAAAGCCTTGTCCGTGGGAGTTTTGGCTCTAATCATGTAGAGGCAATTGCTTCACACCACACAATTCAGGAACTGGTCAATCCAGTATGGGAAAATCATACTGTAAACAAGAGCAAGAATCTTCAAAGAACAAGTGAGACAAAGAGGGTTCCCAGGGACCTAGGTTCAGGCAATGCACCAGTGTTTCCCTTAAATTACCATGATGCTGGGAGAAATAAAGATAGAGAGAAGAGTTAGAGTAATGGACAGGGAATAAGGGAGCAGAAATTATATCCCAGAAAAGTCTCAGGGTCATGATCCATCCAGAGACCCAGACAACCTCAGATCCCAGTCACAAGACTGCTGGGCCTGCATGGAGAAATTGGGACATAAACCTGATACCCTCCTACCTAGGGAAGTCTTACCACCTCGTACTTGAATGCTGCACCACTCTCTGTGGCCACAACTAGGGCTTTGATAAGTTCTGAAATAACACTTGGAAGTTTGAAAGACATGCAAACACAAAGGACAATATGTATGCTCACGTAACGTTCCAGAACACTCTCACCACTCACTCAGGCTAACCTTAACACTCTGCGTGAGCAGGAAGTAAAGGCTAAGACAGAATGGTTCATTTTCCAACCAAGCAGTGAACTCATGCCTCCTCTTCGACACAGCACACCATGGCCAAGGACGGAAGACCTGTTGGCTTCCGATGTGCAAGGAACTCTCTCAACCACTTAGCTCATGCAAGAGATTTTAGTGGCTATCCATAAGACATGACACTGAATTAAGAAAATCACTGGAGAAAAAACACTGAGCAAGCAGACACACACCACTAAGTGAGCATCCCATGTCCACCTGTCCCACACCACACGGCTGGAAGAGTTCAGCAGTCGGACAAACCACGTGACCTGCAACAAAATATGGCAATTCTGCTCATGCGTAAGGCTATGAAAGCACTTCCATTCCTCACAGAAAAATAGAATTGGAATTAAAAACCCTCCTGCCACACTCCCCTTTGATTAAAATAAAGACAGCATGATAATTGGACTCAGCCTGCATTTCACACACAAATACAAAGGACCAAAAATAAGAAACAAATCAATGAAAATTTTGGTGTAAGACCAGGTTGGGAGCAGTGCCATTTAGGAAGACCTGGTAGAAATCAGTGACTCTCCCACAAACGGTTTTCTTCCTGAGAACCACACATGAGCAGGAAATAGGAATGGGTGGATGCTTTCTAAATGCTAGCAGTGTGCTTCTGTCACTATCCTCCTGCTTTCGTGCACATTTTCATTTACAAAAGTTTATGCCCATCAACTACATTCTGAGCATCTCTGAAATTGGTGGAATACACATGGAGAGCACCCTGGCAAAGATGCACTTATCCGCTGCAGCCTTGAGTCATAATTTCCTGGGTGATCACGTGTGAAGCCAAGCAGAAAATCAACTCCACCCTGAATTATCCCATCCAGTGTAACCCTCTCATGGCCTTTTACCAATGACCAAAAGAAACAAAGAACAAAACAACAAATCAATAAAGGAGAAGAGAAAAAATAAGCAGAAAGAAGAAAGAAGAAACCATCACTCCAGACACTCCAGTGTGCTGTCCAATGCACACTCTCATTCAAACTGCAGGTGCCTTCCCATGACCAGCTGAAGGCACATGGACGTAAATTGAGACCACGGTGACTCTAGTCTTTCTCATTTCTTGATAAGTTTTGTAAAAGGGTATTCCCAATTAAGAAATAGATTGGAATACTAATTTTCAGAACCTTCTGCACGTGAAAGGGACGACTTCCTCCTCAAAGACTTTCCTGTGACTACGCAAATGACCAAAATAACAACAACAAATACAAGGAAAAGTGCGGCTTATTGGTCCCACTGTTGAGAGTGTGGTGTATAAAAGGCCCAGAAGGGAAGGAGTCCTCAGATTCTGGGACACTCACCTGTGAACAGGAACCCACTCTCCACACCTGACACCATGACCAACTGCTGCTGTTCCCCTTGCTGCCAGCCTACGTGCTGCAGAACCACCTGCTACAGAACCATCTGCTGCCAGCCCTGCTGCGATGGGTCCAGCTGCTGCCAGCCCTGCTGCAGTGGGTGTGACTGCTGTCAGCCCTGCTGCTCTGGGTCCAGCTGCTGCCAGCCCTACTGCAGAACCATCTGCTATAGGACCGTCTGCTGCCAGCCCTGCTGCTGCGGATCCAGCTGCTGCCAGCCTTGCTGCTCTGGGTGCGACTGCTGCCAACCCTGCTGCAGAACCACCTGCTGCAGGACCGTCTGCTGCCAGCCCTGCTGCTGCGGATCCAGCTGCTGCCAGCCTTGTTGCCAGCCTATGTGCTGTCAAACCACCTGCTGCAGGACCATCTGCTGCCAGCCCACTTGCTGTGGCTCCTGCTGTGGTGGACAAGGCGGAAGTAGCTGTGGATGTGGCTGCGGTGGCGGTTGCTGTGGAGGCTGCTGATCAACCCCCCAGACAACCATCCTGGTCACAGGACACTGATTTGCCCTTGGAGACACAGATTTGCCAACTACTCTCCGTAGACAACAGGCCATGCTCTCACCAAGTGTTTCTCTGAAACCCTGTCAATCTGCTTGATACGGTGCACCGTCCTTCCTCCTGCTTCTCTTCTTCCTCCGGCCTTGTACATTGAACGCCAACTGCTTCCACTGACCACGTGAAGTGAGGGTGCAGATTTGCACTTTCTGGTCAAGACTTTCGCCCTCTTGCTTCACAACTCTCAGCAGAGCCCATACTCTTTTCTTTGCCATAGCTTTCAGTGACTCATTGATCATCTTCACAATAAGCTTTTCCTGCTCAGTGGACTCTTCTTTTCAGTATCCTACCTTCTTCCTTTGGTGACATTTTTAGATAAATCCCTCCTAGGGAGAATTTTTTTCTACAGCTTTCTCAATAAAGCCTGATAGATCATCCAACCCACATTGCGTCTTGTTTTCTTCACCAGAGCTTTGTGATCACCAGGTTAAACCACACATTGCACACTCCCACAAATACACAAACATTAGCCAGAAAGGAGTATACTGGGGACATCTCAGGAGAAGACATCACTTCTGGCTTTGAGACAGGAAGTTCATGTAGCTATAAGCAGAAACAACCTATTCCAAAACTGGAACCTGTGTACCTCTGTTGGGTTCATCTTTCGCACATAGTATCAGGTAGCTACGGGACCCTTGCCTCCTCTTGCCCTGTTACACGGCTGGTGCCGCCTTTTCGCCACTGTGGACATTCCTGGGCATGGACACATTCTCCTCAATTTCAGTTATGTTTCTTCTGACCCTCTGATTCTTCAAGATAAGTGTCTCTCACTAAATAGTGACACCTTCCCCTACTTACTCTTCTGCTGTCACGCTCGTGGCACAAAAATCAGGTATTGAGGGAACTTTACACCCGTTTCCCCCAGTGGAAATATTTCTTTCATGAGCACCGACCCTCCTCCATAGTCAAGCCCAAATAAATGGGGTGGAGAGTCAAATACTAAATATGGCCAAGAGAGTTAATGTCACTCTTGCTGCCCATCGTCAGTGTCTGAATCGGCGTGTGGTACTCACTGTATGGTAAACAGTCATGGCCTCAGGTCCAGGCATACACACTCAGGTAGGCCCTGTACACTAGTGCCTTCTATGCACATCCCAGAGATGATTCCGATGTTCTCTAGGATTGGCAGATACTCTGGCCTGTGATGTATGTCAGGACAAGCGAATCCCATGGCCATGTGCTATTTATTACATCCTACTCAATCTAGAATGGCTTTGTGTTTATTGTTGTTGGGTTTTTTTGTTTGTTTTTTGTTTTTGTTTTTGTTTTTTTTTTGCCAACAGGATGCTCTTCAGGCTCCTCTGGGCAATATTATATGCTCCTGGCCAGTCCTGAAGACAGAGAATGCGGATCTGTACATTGAGCAAAAATCATCCCTACCCAAGAGGATCACTGCTTTTACAAATATGGAAGCAATCTAACAGAGTCCGCTTGAGTCCTTGTGTTTCAGTTCCTATTCAGCCTGGAAGCTATAATCTTCAGGCCTCCCCATCAGGCCATACTGCTGAAAAAATGCACGCAGTCAGACTGGAGGAGAGGCAGCTAAGGTGCACGGCTCCTCCCAAAACTTCTGTCCCTGCTACCATAGCTGTCCTTTTCATTCTCCATTGAGCAGAGAGTACAGTAACCTAGGATAGACACTTGGGCTGCGCATCCCGAACACCTGGCTGTTCTGTGCAACCCGTGTGGTGGTCAGCCTCTGCTGGGAAGAGACATGGGGACACAAGGAGAAAATACTGACCGCCCATCTACCTCCTTTCATCTACTCAAATCAGTGCCACATCTCTTTTCTCCAGTCATCAGTCTCTTTCC